GGGGTGGGGAAGGAAGGAGGGTTGGGTGGGAAGAGTCTCGGCTGGCCTCACGTTCTACAAAAGTTTGGGGCAGGCCACAGAGTCCTGGAGCCACAGTCACTCATTCACTGCTAGCAAAGTCCTGCCCCCGCAGGAACGGTCCCGCACGGGATCCCCGCCATGCTCAGTCCTTGGTGGGAGCAGCCGGAGGGCTGTGACCTCAGCACAGACACGGTGAGGGATCCAGCTCCGGCTGCGTCAGCCACACTGCCCACAGCAGCCCTGAGTGGCGCATGTCCACGGCCGCCATGGTCCACCCTGGCACCACGGAGGTCTGCTCCGTGCCACGCGGGCCCCTCTTCCTGAGGGACGTAACCCCTGTTGCTCCAGAAGATCTCAGGGTCACAGCTGGTACGCATCTGTCCTTTCCACACCCCTTCTAGATTCCTCTCCCTCAGCTACCGCCTCAGCAGGTCTCGGTGGCTTTCCCAGTGCTATGACCCAAATCTTCATTCCTGAGGGGTCTGAGCCCTTGACCAGCACACCCTGCTCAGCCGGGGCCATTGCATGTGTCCATTCACCATTAAAGTAGAAGCCCCAGTAGTCCCCTGTGCCCTGCACCTATCCCTCCCTGTGTGACAGCAGCCCCGCCTCCTCCTGCCGATCAGAGCCAATTCGCTCCAGCAAGAAGGGCTCCACCAAGAAGGGTGCCTGAACACCAGCAGGCAAGTGCCCCGGTAGTAGCCTGAGCTCAATGTGCAGTGGGGCCCTCTGCCCTCCAGGGCCCACGGTTGTGAGGCTGGGAAACACAGCTTCCCCCACTGGGCCACTGGGAGTGATGGTCAGTGGGGCCACCCCTGTTTTCCCTTGGGTCTCCGGACCCATGTATTTCCCTGCTGGGGACACAGCACCCTATGGAGGCTTTCAAAGTATTGCCACCGAGCTAGCCCTTCTGCTGGCATTTGGATGGTCCGGCAGCTACAAATGGGGCTGCCATTCAGTTAAGCCTCTGGTAGTCAACAATCCTTCTCTGGGCTCCATCCAGTTTCTGTAGGGCAGAGACTATGGGTTAAACGGAACTAAGACAGAGACCACCCCTGTATCCTTCTGGGCTGTAATGACAGCATTAGTCTCTCCCCGACCTCAGCAATGACATCACTTTTGACTTGCCCTCTTGGCTGGTGGGGGCATTTCCAGAGGTTTCCACCTGGCTCTTGTCCCGCAGACCAAGGGTCCAATGAGATATGAGCACGTCAAATGCCATGCCCCCTAGCAATGAATGTGCCCTGTTCTCTGAGGTCCTTGCCAGGGCGTTGAAGCCCATGTCCTGCGAAGACACCCCCAAGTAAAAGCATTCTTGCCTATCCAGCCTTGGTTCTGGCCCCTTTGATCCAGAACCCTCCAAATCCAACCCAGGAGCGCTAGCCTGGTTTCTGCCGGGACATGCCAGTTAATTCCTGCCACCGCATTCTCCCTGGGTGGCATCTCTCCTCTTTCATCAGGCCAGCTGTCCCCAGCTGGGTCACTCCAGACTTTATCTTCAGTTATCAGCCTGGCAGCCCAGAACAGAGGTGGGGCAGCTCCCGAGGGAGGCACCTGTTGCCTTGCAGGGGGAAGACCCCCGCAGCGTCTTCCGGCCTGGAATGGTGCTCACTCTTGCCGGGGATGGGTGGGCCACCTGCGTGCTCTGAGGGGACACATCCATTTACTGTCACCTCAGTTCCCGAGTTCCAGATTTTCCCAGCCGGAGCCCTAGAATAATACACCTGGCTTAGCCAAGCATCTCTGGCGCTCTGTGATGATGCTTATTCTCAAATCCTGGATCTGCCCCGCTGCTGGGTCGGCTGCAGGTGGAGGTGGGGCCTCTCTATCACCCCCTACAAGGGCCTCCGGCTCTCACATTGAGCCCCTCGCTGTCGGTGACTCCCAGCTTCTCATTATCCCTAAGTGCCAACATCACCAAATAACCAGCCAAGTCCATCACTTCCCTGACACTGCTTCCTGCACGTCTCCAGCGGCTGAATCACCGAGCCTGACAGAGCATCCCCTCCGCCAGGGCGCTTCTCCCAGGTCCTCACGGGTGAGAGCGTTACCACCAGGCTCTGTGGCCTACTTTCCACCTGCGGTGGGTCCTCCTTGCTGCCAGGCCCCAATGCCCAGGTTACCTGTTGCCACCTATCCTTCTCAGACCGTTCCCGGTGTCGCCGGTGCTAGTTCGAGGCCTCCTGGAAGAGATGACAAGATGTGATGGACGAGAGCTTCCCTGGGAGGGAAGGCCTCTGGAGGCCAAAGCAGAGGGGACAGAAGGCAGGTCTGGCCTCAACACAGGTCCGGCCCTGAGGAAGGAGTGGGGAAGAAGGGCGGAGCACGTGGGACAAATCTCAGGCTGCGGCACAGCTCTGTGAAAGCTGCCGCTGGGCCCGTGGGGAACCCTCCAGCCGGAGTCGGAGAAGTCCTGCCAGAACGGCCTACGCCAGCACCTGGCCCTGCTGCTCAGGGACAGGAACAGCAGGGAAAGCGCGCTCACCACAAATGCCACGGTGGATCCGGCAGGTGACAGCTGTCACCCAGCAGTGTTCCCCACGGCGGACCCGAGTAGTGTATTTCCAGGGCTGCTACAGTTTCAGACAAAACGGAGTATGGGACGTCCCGGGCATGGATGACCTTGGGGTGACCTCGGAATGGAGCCGGTGGTCAGGTTTCCCAGAGGCCATCTCAGGGTATGACAGCTATCAGTTCTCCGAACTCATCCCGGGAGGCGTGTGCCTTCCGGGACAGGCTGGTGGCCAGGGCCAGGCCTACAAGGTGCTCTTGCCAGGCGGGGCTCAGGTCACTGCTCTTTGCATCTTTGAGAAAGTTCTATCAAGGCTGAAGGCGAAGCATCCAGGGTTTCCAGGGGACCTCTCCCCGCCCCCCGGAACCCAGAACTGGAGAGCTCCCCTCCACCCCCCTGGGTGAGATGGCCCGGAACCACCTCTCGCCATCACCCCCAATCTCCCAGGCCTCTGTGGGGATCAGAGCCAAGGCTGCCCCAAACAGACGGCACTCGGTCGGGAAGGGTCCACACAGAGAAGTTCTGTGGACATGCTGGTCTCTGAGCAGACGGCCTCGGTGGGAATGCGCCCGGGCTCCCACCCACCTGAAGCACCCATCCCTAGGCATCTTCATGATGACGGGAAGGACAGGAGGCAGGGTCCATTCATCCCGCGGCACCGCTGGCGTGTGGAATGAGGACACCATCGATGTGTCCATCGCCTGCCTCCGCAGGATGGCGTTCACACCATCCGGGGAGGCGGCCACCCCTCCCATCTGGGGGAGTCCCCACTTGTGGAGTCCCAGCTCCTCTGGCCTCGGGGGCTCTCGGGGATGAGGCGAGTCTGCACTGCCTCCAGGAGACCCCTTCCTCTCAGCAGCTGCTGCTCACACACTGCCCTGCTTGCCTCGAGCCCACCTTCCCGGCCCTCCAGCTCAGGGCTTGGGAGCCAGACCTCCTGTCTCTTCAGCCTCGCCCCCCCTTCCTTCTGCCTCTAGCCTCCTGTGCCCTCAACGTCCTCCCTCACCTCCAGGCAGGCTCTGGAAACACTGGGGGCTGCAGAAGGAAAGGCGCTAGGGTGTCAGTTTCACTTCTGGGAAATCAGGAGCTAATTGCTCTAATCTTAGCCCTGCCGTGTGTCCCTGACGATGGTCACCGATGGGCACGGGATGGGCGTTGCTGAAAGGCAGATGAAATCAGGACACTCAGCCTTCCTGCCATGCAAGCAGCCCAGCCAAGGAAAAGAAAACAGGCACCAGCCTAGGTCACAGGGGGTCGGCCTCCCATGGAGCAGAGCCCTCCACCTTGCCCCCAGGCTCCTGCCCTGCAGGCCCTGGGAAAGTCACCTCTTCCTCCACCCCTGTTCCGCTGACGGGACCATCTGTCTGTCTGCTTCAACACTGGCACTGAGCTTAGGAGGAGGCGCTGGTGAGGCAAGCTCCAGGGCTAAGAGCTGGCAGGGCCTCAGAAGTCACCGAGAGACCCTTTGATCTTGCTGAAGGGGAAACCAAGGCCAGGTGAGAGAGAGAGGGAGGGGCCCGGCCCAGCCACAGCGGGAGTAAACAGTAGAGCAGCAGCCCCTGCCCTCAGGTGACTCTTGTTCTAATAACCCCCCAATCCAAGTAAGAGTCAGAAGTAATGCAGTGGCCCCTTGCAGAGCTCAGGTACGAGCTGGAGCCCTAGGTTTCCATGATAGTGCTAGTTCACGTAAAATTTTCGTCCCCTGTTTTACAAATGAAAAACTAGGCTCAGTTGGCTCGCCTACTTGACCGGCCGCGGCAAGAAGCCCAGCTGAAGTTCAAAGCCAGGTCTTCTGACTTCAGGTTTCATTTGATGGCCCCACAGCTCTGCCAGTATCTTCCCTGTAACCTCAGGCACATCGCTTCCCCTCTGTGGGCCTCAGTCTCCGCCCTCCGCAAAATGAGAGGGTTGGCCAAAATAATCTCCCGGAGCCAAGCACAGGGGGGCTGGGGGCAGGACCCACTCTGCCTCCACTCACCCCAGAGCCCTCCAGTGATCTACAGGTGGTAGAGACAGCTTCGCAGAGCAGCACATAAATGCTTTGTGACCAGTTTTGTAAACGCTTTTGCCAACCCCTGTTTTCTCTCTTGCCACTGATAGATTGTTTTTCTGGTTCTCTCTCTCCCTCCATACCTCACAATTTTCCACGGCCCCTTCTTCTTCCCCATGCACCCACCTCACCCCCCACACCTCCCCATCTCATCCCGATGCCTGGCCCTGAGGCACTCTGTCCCTGCCCTTACCCACCTCGCCCCCTCCTGCACCTCTGCCTCATCTCTAGGGCTCTGGCCTAACGGACCCTGATCTCCGCTATGCAGAACTGGACACCTCAGCCCTGGAACTGGTGCCAGGGTCATGGACGACCGTGCCAGGGCCTGGAGAGGTTGTGGAATATGCCACCATCCAGCTGAGCCCACCCTAGCACATGACCCCTAGCCACCCATCCCTACCTCTGGGCAACAGGTACATTCGGCCCTCCTCACTCTTCCCAGTGAGACAAACGCATGGAGGGCTGGAGAGAAACTGTGACAAAAAGGGGAGGGGAGGTGGGCCAGACAGGTGCAGAAGGCACCTGCCCCAGGGGTTGGGAGGTCTGCAACGTAGTCCCATTTCTGCCGTGAGTTTACTGTGTTACCTCGTGCACATAATTTCCCCCCTTGGAGACTCAGTTTCCCCCATCTGTGAAACAAGGAGGTTGGAACCAAGAATCGTTAGGGCTCCTTCCTGCTCCAACGGTCCCCAATTATCCTTCTGTGGCTCCAATAGGGATACACTTCTCCCAGCGGCTGCCTCACTGCCGACATCACGGGTGACCTCTTAGCCCTCACCCGGCACCTGGGTGCTCCACTTTATTTTCTAATCACGGGGCCCCCAAGGTCAAGGCTGCATGCTCACATCTCCTCTTGACCTCTCTTGGCTCAGTTGAGCAGCTGGATTCAACCAACCTTTACTGAACATCTGCTCTGTGCCAGGCACTGTGCTAAGGGCTCAGGGTTCAGAGATTCCCGCCCAAAGCAAGGTCCTGCCAGGGGGCTCCCGGCAGAGGGGAGGGTCCTGAGCTCCTGGACTGAAAGAGGAACTGCTGGGCTCTGCAGGGGGTGGTGAGCAGGGCTCTCTCTGCAGCCTGGATCCTGGAGTTACATGGAGGTCACAGAGCAGAGAATCAGAGAGACAATAAGGAAAGTCACCAAACACGTGAGCCTCCCTGAGAGGTTAAAGGAAGCTCAGGACCCCTCAAACTAAGAAGCTAGAATCCCAGGGCTGGAGACTCAGATCCAAGGGTTCACTGCTCCAGCAGCAGGTGAGGAAATCTGAGCTCGAGGCCCTGCGCTACGGGCTGGTGTGGGGATGCACAGGGTCGGGGAGGACAGAGAAAGAGACATGATGGAGAAGGTCAGGATTAGCCGGGAGAGAGATGGCAGTGCTGAGTGTGAGAAAAGTCCCACAAGGCCGCTGAGGGCTGACACTGGAGGGGGTAGGACCCAGGAGGGACTCACTGGTGGCCCCCACGGCACATTTACTCCACTGCGTCTCGGGACCCAGAAGGGCCAGGACTCTGCTCCCTAGCCAACCCCGTTGTCCTCCACCCCCCTGCCTCTCAACACCCCCGTGCACTCCTGCAAGACATCAGCCATCCCCAGCCACCTCTACAGACAGAATTTCGCCTAGCCCCAAACCCCGCATTAGTGTGGGAAGGACAAGGACCCAAAGGGACGCAGTCTTCCCAAAGGCCCCCGTACAGCCGTCTTTGGAGATCCTGGCATTGTAATCGGCCATCTCCCTCCTCTGACTTGTCCACCCCACCGAGGAAGGGGTGCTGCGGGCATAATGAGAGGGCTACTTCAGAGCCTTCCTGTGAGGTCTGGGCCCCGGGAGGCCCACAGGGAGGAGGAGGGCGTAGTGAGAGAGAGACCGGCTTGGGTGGGGAGGGGGCAGGAAAAAAAAAAGGCATTAATCCCATAAATCCTAATTTGGAAGCCGTCCCAGCCCCTCTGAAGCACAGGGAATTGGGGCGGTTATAATCCTGGGTGCTCCTGGCAGAAACCCAGGACAGGGAGAGGTTGTGCCACCTCCCTCATCAGCTCTCACTTGCCGCCCCTCCCCTCTCCCCCCCCCCCCAGCCAACATTCCCACTGCCAGCAGAGCTAAGGAGTGTCGCCTGGATCCCACTGTGGGAGGGGACCCTGTTTGGGTCTGAAAGGTGCCGGGCCAGGTTCTGGGAAACAGAAGGCACAGGGCAGGGCCGGGCTCTAAGCTGCGGGTCTGGGGGGAGAAGGAGGCTGTTCAGCTGGGGAATTGGCTGGCTCCCAACCCCCAGCCCCCGGCGCCTGGCCCCTTCCCACCACGTGTTCTCACTTGCCAGCTTGAGCAGCCCCGAAGGAGGAACTGGGATGTCAGACAGGAACAGGTGCACAGCCACTCGGGCAGACCCTCCCCCTCACAGCGGGCCTGGGCCATGAACCCCAGAAGCCCAGGGGTGAGCACCTCACCTCCCCCTCACCCCATCCCCTTGGACCATTTGATGCCCTCCACGAGGCCAGAAACGTGTTGGAACCTCTGGATCATTAAACCAACAATCAGCCAGTGACAGAAGTACCCAGAGAGAGGTGCCTCCCCTGGGAGAAGGGGGCACGGCGGGTGAGGGGCAGTGGGCAGAAGAGGCCAAAACCTGGGGCCCCACGGCCCGCACCCCCTTCCCAGGCCTCCCTCCCCAGTCCTCAGGCAAACTCAGCCTTTTTGCCCTTTCTCCGGCCCCGGGCCTGGCCAGTCTCTGTCTGCCCCCAGCGTCTCTGGTTTGGGCTCCCCCACAGTGTCTCCTCCCCACCAGCCTTTCACTGTCCCGTCCACCAGCTCCTCTCTTCCCGGTTCTCATTCACACATCTGTTCCTCACTGCCCCCTCCCCCAACCTTCCCTTCTCTCTCCCACCCCAGCTTCTCCCGCCCTTTCATCTCCCCCTTCCTGGAGCTCACCCCACTAAAGCTGCCGGCTCCAGAGGCCAGGACTTCAAAAGGAGATCAAAGCTGGGTTCCCCCATCAAAGACCAGGCTCTGCCAGGAGCACCCCCCCTTAGACCATAACTCTCCCTGACAGGCCAGAGTCCCACATCCCAGCACCCCAGGAAGCACATTCTCGGCCAGAGCCCCATGCTGGAAAGGCTGCTGTGTTTGTTGGAAAGTTCCCAGCACTTGGGATTCAAAAAACTAGTGGAAACCCAATACAGTGAGCCCCTTACTGGCTGTGTGACCTTGGGCGGGTCACCGAACCTCTCTGACACACAGCTACATTGTCTAAATGGGCTATCGTAGGGGCGCCTGGGTGGCTCAGTCAGTTGAGCGTCCAACTTCGGCTCAGGTCATGATCTCACAGTTTGTGGGTTCGAGCCCCGCATCGGGCTCTGTGCTGACAGCTCAGAGCCTGGAGCCTGCTTCCGATTCTGTGTCTCCCTCTCTCTCTGCCCCTCCCCTGTTCACGCTCTGTCTCTGTCTCAAAAATAAATAAACAGTAAAAAAAAATTTTTTAAATGGGCTATCATTCATCTTACAGGACTATCAAATGGATTAAAGGAGGAAATTCAGGTAAATATCTAGCACTAGGCCTGTCTTAGAATAGTAGGTGCTCAATAAATTGTTGCTTTGACTATTGCTGCTATTACAAAATCCTCCAGAGATGAGAAAATGTAGAAATGAGAACAGAGGTGTCCAGGGAGTGAGGCCTGCTGCTACCTCAAAAGACAGGGGTCCAAGCATCTCAGTTTTGGGCCCCGAAGGAACCACTCCATCTGGATCCCGCTCACCGGCCGGCCGGGGCCTCAAGAGCATGAGGCGGCCACTTGGAAGCCTCCTCGGCTTTGTCTCCAGCCTGGGCTCTCCTGCCCAGGCAGCCCCTTCTCCCCAGCCTCCGGCCCGCGTCCTTGCTCTCAGCCTGGGCCCAGCCCCACATCCCTCAAGGGGATGATGGCGTCTAGATGGGGTGGGAGGTGGGGCTAAGAGGCCAGGGCTGCATTTATGAAACTTTTCTTGGCTCTGAACATCAGAGAACTCCAAGGAGGACGTGACTTGAGTAAGTCCCTAAACCTCCTGAAGCTTGTTTTCTCATTTGTAAAATAAGGGGTGAGCTGCTTCAAATCCCCCTTTGGCTGCAGACTGTGCATACATTATAATTTTAAAGAACCGAGGAGGTAGAACTCCAGGCTTTCTGAGCCCCTCAGGACCAGGAGACTAGAAGCCGATCTTCAGCCCACACTGCTTCGACAGCCGGCAGCTGTGGCCACTCAGCATCCCTGCCGGAGCCTCTGCTGGTCCGGTTTCACCAGGAAGCAACCGAGGCTCGGGAGAGGAATGGGCCTGCCCCCTGTTCCCGTGTACCATCTGATGGGGACGATTCTCCCCAGGTTGGAAACGGGCATATGGGAGCTCGGAGCCAAGGAACACAGGTCAGGCTCTGTGCCGCCGGCCTGCCCCACGGCCCGGGACTCTTCCGCCCCCTCCCCACTGCCCAGCACTGGCCCCACCCTACACGTCTGCCCCCGTTTATACCCCCAGTCCCAGGGCTCCCCAAGGCAGCATCCCACCCTCCGGATCACCGGCCCCCCGACACACTGAGAAAAGCGACCTCCTCCTTCCCAGCTTCCTGGCTCGGCAAGCCCTCCCTTGCCTGCCCCCATACACACACCAGGGTCCCCTAGGTGTCGAGGGCTGGGCCAGAGGTGCCCAGCAGCCTGTGCTAGGGGACGAGTTCCACACCTGTGCTTTCCAGTACACAGCCACTGGCTGCGTACTGTTCCTCATTGTGACGTTACTCCAACTTCGTTCCAACCTTAACAGACACATGCAGCTAGGGGCCGCCGCACCGATCTACACACAGCGGCACCGCCAAAGGGTCTGGCCTCTGCCCCTCTCCTCAGCGGGCACATTCAGCAACGGACACTTCTGAAGTGGGCCCACGGGATGTTCAGGGTGATGAGGCGGGCAAGAAAAGTTCCTGCTCCCCGAATTCCAGGCCCCAGGGCAGCCTCATTAGTTGAGCCCCGAGTGGCCACTACCCAAATGTGGCCAGACGCAGGGCGGGGTGGGCAAGTGGAGGGTAGAGCGCTGCCCTGAGGGGCACAGATTGGGAGCCCCCAGGCCTGAGCCCCACCCCC